GGCGGGGCTGCAGGGCCTGCCCTGCCTGGGCGGCTGCTCCGGGCACACCGGGCAGGGATGCCCGGGCGCACCTGGGGTGGGCTGGGCGGAGAACCCCGGCCAGCCCTGCACCGGCGGGGCCGCAGAGAGCCCCGATGGAGCCTCCCCTCCTCGCCAGGCAGCAGCCAGCGAGGGGGTCAGGAGAGTCCGGGCTCCGTTGACCCTAATAAGGGGCATGTGCTCTGGGGTCTGACAGAGCTGGTTCCATTTTGGGCCCCTCGGCTTCCTGGCTGCGACACCCAAACAAGAAGACACACACGCGGAGGAACGCGGGAAACCCTTCCATTGCGTGTATCTACAGCTACGTTGCCTGAAACTTTTACAACAATAAGGCATGTAGGCATTTCTTGAATTTTTAAAACTCCCTTCATTAAAAAGTATTATAATCAAACGTGTTTTAGTAGCCACAGGACGTCAGAGAGCTGACAGGGCACAGAGAAGGCGGAACTATGGGGGTGCGGGTGCAGAGCTGTATGGGGGAGGCAGGGGCGCCCCACACAGGAGCTGGCTCTTGAACCAGGTCTTGAGGAACCAGCAGAGGGCCAACGCCGGAAAAACAAGCAGCCCACCTAAAAAATGATGAACACTCCTCCAAAGGACATGTGGATGGCCAATGGGCATACGAAAAGATGGTCAGCATCACCAGTCATCAGAGAGATGCAAACTAAAACCACAATGACATCACCTCACACCTGTCAGAATGGCTGTCACCATTCAACAAATCAACAAACAGCAAGTGCTGGGAGGATGTGGAGAAAGGGAGCCCTCCTGCACTGCTGGTGGGGACGCAGACTGGGGCAGTCAGTAGGGAAGCAGTAGGGAGGTTGGATGGATGCATGCATGGGAGGATGGGTGGGTGGGTGGATTGGTTGGTGGGTGAATGAGTGGGTGGCTGGCTGGCTGGATTGGTGGGTGAGTGAGCGGGTGGATGGCTGGGTGGGCGACTAAATGGAAGGGTGAATGGAGAGATGGAAGAAAGAGGCCACACATTCCTAAGTGAAGCGGCCTGAGCAGCAGTGCTGGGCAGTGCTAACTTGTATACATGAGCCTCAAGTGCTGGAGGCGACTTAGTGCTTCTGCTCTACCTTCAGCTGTCAGCAGGCCTCGCATGCCCACACCACACAGGCCTCTTTCCCTACTCCTGCTCCTCGCCCTTGCTTTGGATTGATCCTCAGGGCAAGGCTCATGGTGACAGGGGGTGTCTTGGTTTTCTGGCTCAGGCCTCTGTCTTAGGCAGGCCCTGTGTCCCTGAGCCTATGGTGGACGGCAGGGGGGTAAGGGCAGCCTTTTCAACATCATTAAAGCTTTGAGGTAAAGGAATTATTTGTGGGAGCTCAGGGAACACCCTTAACCTGGGTAGACCAGATGGCAGTAGATTGGCTGAGAGGTGTGGGAGTGTGGACATCTTTTGGGCACTAAGGCAGGGGAAAAAGAAGACACTGGTCATACATAGGAGCCAACAAAGACCCCAGAAGAGACAAAGCTAGGGATCTGAAAGGACAGTACCCACAATCATGGATGGCAGGGGCAACAGGGCAGCTCTACCCATAGTAAAAGGGCCTGTGCCTGCTACCCAGACAGACAGCCTGTACCCTCCACGCCTGGTTGTCCCACGGCACTCACCGTCCAGAGCAGGTCCTGGTAGTGCACCATCATCTGCACCACCTCGGCTGCCCCCTCTGCCAGCTGCTTCTCCCTGCCCTTGAGGAGCTTGGGGGGCTGCCCTCGGTGCAGGAAGAGATTAGGGGCCATTACTGTGGAAACATTCCACAGCGTCATCTTGTTGCTCTGCTCCCGGGCCACCACCTTCCTGAGGAATTCCAGGAGTGCCTGGGGAAGGGCACAGGACTTTCCTCAAATCTCAGCATGCCCAGGTGTCCCCTTCTTTCCCCAGAACGTCCTGCTGTGCTACTTGGTGGGGGGAGGGGCTTGGAAGGAGCCAGGGGCTGGAGTAGGGGTTTCAGTTCCAGCTCTGCCATCAGCCCACCCCGTGACCTCTTTGTTTCCTGCTCTGCAAAACATGTCTAAAACCTTTCCCCTTCCTGCTTCCCTGGAGGTTAATGAGACAACTGGGTCAGACTTCACCTTCCAGGCAGCAAAGAGCCACAGCTCAGGGAAGCAGGGCTTCTCCTGGTGAGCCCAAGACAGCTCCCTTTTCTGGCTCTGGGAAGTCTGAATCTGCCCAAAATGCAAGGGAAAGAATAGGAAGCAGCGGCAAAGGGAAGGAAGGGGGGCAGCTGCCATTTAAGTACTTTTTGTGTTCCTGGCCCCTTAGCGCCTTACATGCATTTATCATCACGTTTAATTTTCACAACTCTATAAAGTAGGTCCTACCATTTGTACCCATTATACAGAGAAGGAAGCTGTGGCTTGGAGAATGTGCCCAAGGCCACATAGCCAGTAAGGATGAACAGAAGGAGGGAGGGGAAGAAGGATGGGAAGGTGGAAAGATGGATGGATGGGTGGGTGGGTGGCAGATGAGGGAGGAAGGATGGGAGTAAGGNGGCAAGTATTTAGCCCTGCATGTGAAGAAATTTGGGACCTGAGAGGTGGAAACTTGCCTATGGTCACACATGTAGTAAAAACAGAGACTGGGTTTCTAACTCTGGCATTTGATTTCTAGTATTCTTTTCATTATTTGTTTCCATGTAATGGAATGGTACAGTGTCACCAATAGTTGTTGATACAGATATGCTTAGCAAACTATAGTTTAGTATGTTTTGGTTTGGAAGTCAGATCCAGCATGTGTAGCTTAATATAAATAATGGTTTCCATTCTACAGAGCATTTTCTTCAAATTCATTATCTCATCTGATTCTCTTATTTTACATGTAAGGAAATAAAAGGTATTCAGAGGTTAAAAATCTTGTTCAAGATGTGATAGACTTAGACCTTTATAATGCAGTGTTTCTTTGGATTCTGCAGATTTTTAGGTCCTTATCAAAGATTTTCCATTCACAAATCTGTGGAAAAATTCTCAAGGGTTATTTCCTAAGTAATTATCAAACATATTTTCTTTCTTTTTTTTAATTAGCAACTTCATTGTATTTTTCATCCCAAAATCCCTTTATTTATTTATTTATATTTATTTATTAAGTTTATTGTGGTGACATTGGTTCATGAGGTCATATAAGTTTCAGGTGTACATTTCTATGATACATGATCTGTATATTGCATTGTGTGCCCACCACCGAAAAGTCATGTCATCTTCCATCACTTCCATATATTTGGTCCCCGTTATCCCCCACCCCATCCCCTTCCCTCTGGTAACTGCCATGCTATGTCTATGAGTTTCAGTTTTATATCCCACATATGAGTGAAATCATATATTTCTTAGCTCAAGTGTTATTTTCTAAGTAATTATCAAACTTATATTTCCAGCATTTCTTTTTCAACCTCCCTCCTTGTTCTTCCTGTTACTAGGCATACTTTTACTATTAAAATTTTAATATTTATTACATTGGCACATAATAGCAACAATATTTGGAAGTTGAAAAGAAAAATGATGTGTGTTTTGCTTTGTTACATCAACTGTTTTCTAGCTCTTGTTAAAGTCACCACATATCCTTTGTGATGAGATCATGATACAATTTTATATGGTTTTTTTGTCTGCTTGTTAATCCTCACCTGAGGATATTTTTTCATTGATGTTTTAGAGAGGGGGAGGGAGGGAGGAGGAAGAGAGGAAGGAAGGGAGGGAGGAAGGGGATGAGAGAGGGGGGAGGGAGGAAGGGGAAGAGGGGGGAGGAAGAGCATATATTGAACACTTGCCAAGCACCACATCTTCTGCCCTGTGATTCCTTATGTATTAGCTCTTGTATTCTCCAAACAATCACACAGATGCTATTATTGTCCTCAGTTTACTGGAAAGGAAACAAATTCAAGGAGGCTGTCTCTTCAACAAAGCTGAGGCACAAGGAGTGAAGGTCACCTGAACCCAGCTCTATCTGGTTATAAACACTCCCTCAGGGCCTCCTGTGTCCACATCAGACAAGGATTCCAGGAGACCTGGGGCCTCCTCACAACCTACCCAAGCTGTACATCTTGGATTTGAACCAATGACAGCCAGGAGGGTGCTGGGAGCTAAGCCAGGGCTGCACCCCATCACCTGCTCCCAGTCCTGAGCACCCACTCCCATAATACACAGTGGGAGTTCCCCAAGAGAGTATTTCCCAAATGGGTGCCCTACAGAACACATGCAGTGCAACACTTTCCATAACAAAACAGGTCCCTAGACAACTGACTCAGGAAACTGCTACACACTCTAGTCCCACCTGGAGATTCACGAAGCCTCAGCATATTAAGGCTTTGAGAAGTCTTGTAGGAAGGGATGATCCTAACCTTATGGCACTAACTCAGTGTCCATCCATCTTGTCTGGACACAGAGCCTCCTCCCTGATAGAACTGACAGTGACATAGGGCAGTGCACACTCTAGTGAGCACCGTGTCCTTTCAGGGCTCATCTGCTTTCTTTAGGGAAAAGTCTCAGGAAAGACTTGGCCATCACTGCACCCCAGCCCCTGGCAGAGTTGCTGAATGGGCACATTTGGAGCCATTACTGTGGCTGAGGGCTGAGATGACAGTGGAGGCAGCTGGAGGTAACTTTTACCTTTAGGGCGTTCCTGTTGGGTTCCGGGAGGATCAGGATGAGCAGGTGGAGGGCCTGCAGGCGCTGCCTCAGGTTGGGGATGTCTGAGGGAAGAGGGCAGGCTCGGTCTCAGGTATCCCAGGGAGGCTCAGAGATTCCCCCTCCCTCAGTCTGGAGGCCCCTTCTTGGGGAGGGGAGATTCCAAGAAACTCATCTTTTTAAAAAATATGTTTTTTAAATTGATTTGAGAGAGAGGACAGGAGATGGAGAAAGAGAGAAACATCAATGAGAAAGAAACATTGATCGGCTGCTTCTCACACCCCCCCTGCTGGGGATAGAGCCCAAAACCCAGGCATGTGCCCTGGCTGGGAATTGAACCAGTGACCTCTTGGGGCACGGGTCAATACTCAACCACTGGGCCACACCAGCCACAGCAGGGAAACCCTTCTTTATAAGGCCTGGAACTGTTCCCTGGGCTAGTTTTAGCTCAGACAGAGCCCCAACCAGTGCTGGTCATGAGGCTCACTCTCTACCATGTGAGTAAAAAGTAACACACATGTGCACATACACATGCCCAGACATGCAGCCTGAGAGGTATGTCCCAGGGTCAGAAATGCAACGGGCTGGCAATCACCCTCGGGAGGGGAGATGGATAGCTCAACTAGGTTTGAAGGTTGCAAAGGAAAAGCTGTCCCACAGCTGGGGTCAGGATCTCCAGGGAGGAGAGGAGGTGGTAGGTACAGAATTCAGAGACCAGGCCCGTCAACTGAGAGCTAGCTGGAGCCTGGAGGACACAGCGTAGGGGAACACAGAGGCTGAGCATCCAGGCTCGTCCCTCAGATCCTGTGTGGCACTCATTCATCACTCATTCACTCATTCATTCACTCACTCAACAAAGACCATCAGGTACCTATTAGGTACAAGCTCCAATCCAGGGACCTGGGACACAGCAGTGAAAGAAACAAACAGGTCGCAGATTTGTGGAGCTCATGTTTCAGGGCAGAAGACAGACAATAAACGAGCAAAGAAATAACTAAGTATCTTCAGACCCTGCTTCATACCAAGGAGAAAATAACACGGAGTATTGTGATAAGCGGTGCCTGGTGGGCAGGCGTGTCGGGTCGGGTCAGGGAGGGCCTCTGTGGGGTGCTGACATCAGGTGATGTCTGAAAGGCAAAAAGCAGCAGCCAAGTGATGGGAGGGGCAGGTTTCCAGAGAGAGGGAGCAGTAAGCAAGGAGGCCCTGAAGAAGGAAGAGAAATGGGCACATCGAAGCCAATTGGTGGGGCTGCAGGGGGACCAGGAGGAGGTGGGTCAGAGCAGGGCCTGAGGAGGAGGAGGCCCTGTGGTGTTTGTTACAAGTGGGCTGTACGGGGTGTGAGGCGTGGAGGGACCTGGTCTGATCTGATCTATGTGAGTTGCAAAGGCAGGAGAGGATTTCTTAGCACCCCCTTCCCTGCATGGGGGTGGAAATCAGACTGCCTGAGCCCTGAAGCTTTTTGGAGAATCAGAGAGAGAGAGAGAGAGAGAGAGAGAGAGAGAGAGAGGGAGAGAGAGACAGGCAGAGGGAGAGACAGAGAGAGAGGGAGAAGGAGAGAGAGAGGGAGAGAGAGGGAACACCTGACTTCCCTCCAGGTTGCAGGGGGACAGAGCTCAGGTGGGTGGCTTTCTTCTTTTGAGAAAAACAGAAGGGACTGTTTTATGCTCTATGGATTGTGGAGCGGTCCACGCAGGGACATAAACATGCAGAGTATAGAGCGGGATCTGTGCAGTACATGCCAATCTGCGTGTGCCCACAGAGGCACTTAGCCCACAGCCTGGCCCCGTGGGCATTCTAAGGAGAAGAAAGCTGGTCCATGTGAGGACTAATAGGGACCATGGTGTGCAGAACCTGATCTCCTCTCCTCCTCTTCACACTGCTCATGCACACACTCATGCACACACACATACAGCACACACGTACATGCAAACACTACCCCCCCCCACACACACACGTGCGCTTCCTCCCCATCAGCTTGACCTCACAGGGAACAGGTAGCCCCACCTTCCCACTACCTCCCCTCTCCCACCCAGGCCATCAAACGCTCTTCTCCCAAATGCAAAGGGCTGGGGACACTCACTGGGCACCACGGCAAAGGCCGGGAGGTACTCAGCAGTGAGCAGAGGCGCTGGCAGCTCCCGGATGAACCTTTTGAGCAAATCGGATGCATCGTTGTGGTGAACCTCGTCCCAGCTAAACAGGCCCGTGTAGAAATCTCTCTCCAGCTTTTGTTCCAGCCCCTGAAGGAAGGGCACAAATGAGAAGCTGGCTCAGGGCTCCAGGAAAAGTTGCTCCCCCACTTCTCTGGGCCTCAGTTTCCTCATCTGCAAAGTGGGGACAACAACAGCACTCACCCCGTAGGGGTTTTATGAGGATTAAATGGCCTAATGTGTGCAAGTCACGCAACAAATGTCACCAGCCTGACTCCTGTGTTACACTGTGCCACCTCTACCCTTTCGAACCCTCCTGGGCTCCATGACCCAAACAGAAACCAAGGATGGAACACTGAGGCCGTGAGCTGGATTCTCTCCTGGGTTAAGGTGCACGCAAGGCTGCTGGGAGATGCAACCTCAGTGAGGGGGGAAGCCAGCCATTACCTTGACCCTGGCCTGGGATCCAGGCACCCTGAGAATGCCTTCCGTGTCCAGCCCTCTCTTTTCCAAACAGGACAGCAGCTGCAAGAAAAAGAACCTGCTGTTTGAACCAGCAACCACTGAAAAGTGGGATTCAAACTGGTGTGTTTGCCCCCCGGGGAAACGAGGCAGAGGAGACAGCCAGCAGGGCTATAGCTTCTTGGCCACTTCCAGGAGCCAGGCATTGTTCTGAAAGCTTTTTTCTTAAATATGCATTTTTCTCACTCAGTCTTTAATAAGAGCATACTGCTGCTCTAACCCCACTTCACAAATACTGAATGGCAGGCTCACAGAGCTTCCAAAACTCACCCAAGTCTCCCAGCCAGCAAGTGTCAGAGCCAGAACTGGAACCCAGTGTCCTGGTCCTGAAGTCTACACCCTCATCCCCCAGGCCAGCCAACGGTGGTGCCCAGAGCCAGCCTCTCACTGGCTAAATGAGCCCAATCCTGGGACAACTTACAGCTTGAAGCAGAAGTGGCACCTGGGTGCAGGGGAGGGCTCTGCGGTCGGCCTCCAGCAGGGCTTCAAGGGGCACGCCGAAGAGACGCGTTTCTGCGGGAAGGCCAAAGGGCAGAGGGGCGGTTCACTTCCTGGAATGACAAGTGGGCTCCAGCCTGCAAGGTGTCTGGGCCACTAGAGTCAGACTCCTGTCCCTGTGTGAGGACTGAGCTCTCTGGAGAGTGGCTGAACTCAAACTGCTCTCAAGCAGAACATGTGGCCTCAGCAACAATGAAAACATGAGATATGTCACAGAGCAGAGTCTCAGCTGGATAAGGTGGTGTTGAAAAGAAATGTGCTGCTGCCCTGGGGGTACTGGGCACAGATGTAACAATGGTCTGGGGTAGAGCGTTCTGCTCTGCAGGGATGCACCAAATTCCAAAGAATGTACTTCCTAGGTCTTCTCAACCATCCTGCCTGGCAGTCTTCTCAGGTACACTCCTCTTCCCAAATCTACTCTGCAGTGTCCTTCCTTCTCTGTTCACCTGCCTCCCCTTTATCTATAAAACCCCCACTCCTGGTCTATCTCATCTACCATCCTCTTGTCTTTAAAGAAACAAACAAACAAAAAATTGCAATGCGTAATGTAGACAATGATGCAATGAGATGAACGGTCTCACACTACTGAAGGGTAATATATACCAAGAACTTCATCAGTATATTCAAAACAATCTAAGATGCACTCAAAGTTGCATGTGCAGCCATAGTTATTGTGTTTTATAATAGGAAAATGTGGAAATGATAAATGTCCACCAATAGGGAAATGGTTAAATAAATCAGGATATCTCCATGAGCAGGAAAATAGTGACCTGATTAAAAACCATGTTTTCAAAGATTGCTTGAGAGTTGTAGTAAATGATAATATTGTTCCAAGCTCATTACCCCTCCATTAATCCACACTGTTTGCCATGTGGATTTGCATAGTGGAGAAAATGCCTCCCCACCCCTTGCCGCCAGCCAGGTGATGCCTTTGGTCAGTAGAGCAGTAGCCCCCATGATGTGAGCAGAGGCTCAAATGCATCGTGTGGCAGGTTTGCCATCTCGTGCTTCTGCCACTGTCATGAGAACACGCTCCAGATGGCCTGCTGGTCCCAGGAGGATGAGAGACATGCGACACAGCCCCAGCTCCAGTCCCCAGCTTGGAGCCAAGCCCAGCCTAGATCGGCCAAGAATCCCCAGCTCACCACAAACATGTGAGCGAGAGTAAACAATTTAAGTCATGAGTTTGGGGGTTGGTGGTTAAGTAGCATTATTGTAGCAATGGCTGAATAAGATGGTAACTTGGAAATGTCCATAATTCTATAATATTAAGTGAAAAAAAGGGCATGTACAGGTGGGGTGGGGGAGGAAGATGATACTCTAAAAGTTAATAGTGCTTACATCTGAATTGTATTTTTCCTTTTTGGATTATACTCTATTTCCCACAATAAGCAGGAATTGTTTTCATATAACAGGGGGAACTATAGCAGCGAAGCTTGTTGGGTGGAAGACTCCCACGCAACTCCCTTGACGAGAAAGCCAGGACTTTAGCCACAGGGTTTTGAGGAGCCGGCGGCTGACCTGTTGCCTTCTGCTTCCCCGCCTTGCTCCTCTTCAGGTCCAAGCCGAGGACGTCGCAGAGGGCAGTCAGCTCGATGAGGGCCAAAGCAGGGATCTTGTTCATGTCCTGAGAGGACAGGTCTCCCACCCTCGTCAGGCCAAGTCTGCCTTTGGGGATCCTAAATGTCTAGGGAGGGAAGCAGAGACAGTCAAGCCAGGAGCTGAGGCTCCACCCCGCCCCA